TATGAGCGGCAGTGATTTTTTTATTATAATGTCAACGGGGGCACTGCTACTACAAGAAGGTGCTTCGGATAAGAGCAGCCTTCGAGTGGCATTTTCATTTTAATCCACATGCCCACTTGCTCACACATCAGGTTTCACAGAGTCAGTGTGACAACAGAGAGAGTGCTCCAGCTCCTGACATCTGGTCCCGGCTGTTAATCTTCCCTGACCAATCAGCACAGGGTCAGGGGATGAGTGACACTCAAAGCAGATAAAAAGCGGTGATGAATCTCCTTCTTCCATCCCTCCCTTCCTCTCCTCCATTTATCCTCCCAGTCACGCACAGCCCTCTCTCTGCCTCGCTCTCAACCGCTCATTATTGTAATTGGAGGGTTTGGAGAGATACGGCAGAGAGAAAGAAAGGGAAAAAAAGAAAGGTAGAGAGAGAGAGAGAGGGATAGAGAGAGAGAGAGGTTTTTGGAGGTCAGAGACCCGGCCCTTTTCCACTCTCTTTCTGCTCAGTTATTTCTCTCCCGCCATCTCTCATTCTATCCTTCTTTTTCTAAACCAGGAGGAGAGCATTTGCTTTAACTTTTCTTTAAAGATGCATGTGCTGCATCAAAGCTGGCTAGATTTTCAAACAACATATCAAGTTTCTAAGGGCTCTATTTCTCCTTCTCTCTTCACCTCCCTCTTTCTCTTCTCTCTCTCTCATTCTTTCCTCCTTTCTTTGTTTAACCACAGCTGCTGCATTTTGCCATAGTTTCAGCTTACTGGCCTCTGTCTTTGGGCTGGGTTAAGGAGTGTTTGTGTGGTTGAGTGTATGAACCCAACAGGAGAAAGCCAGAAAGAGAGAAGGAAAGAGAAAAAGAGAGAGGAGTGGGAGAAGACAGCGCTGCCATTAGCTGGAGTGTTTTCTGTCGTGAAAAGGCCAGGTTAAGTGTGTGAAAGCATCTTAAAACAACATAATGGATGCTCCAATCAGCTGTGACCAATTAAGTAAGAAACAGGAGGGAAAAGACTAGAACAGGTCAGTCTAAGAGACAGAATGGAAAAGAAAGAAAACAAGTCAGGAAGAAGAACTTATACCTTTTTTCTTATTGCCAACAAATCCTATGAAAAGAAGCAACAATGAATTGATCCTTGCAGGGGTGTAGACTTGAGTTATAGGACTTTGACTCAAGTCAGGCTTTTTTTTGTAAATGTGGAAAAACCCTTTAAAATAGGCAATATGCTCCTTTCCCAATTTTCGGTAGGAGTATGCCTTTCTGTCTTTTTTTTCTGGTGTGATGTAACGATCGCTCCGGAAAACAGGGTCAATAAACTTCCAGGGAAAATCTTACCGTCGTTACTTCAGCCTCTCCTTCAAACTCTTAAACTAGAGTTGGTGATTGTCAGAACAGTGGAAAGATAAACAAAGACGTTTTCGATTAATTTCATTTTGTATCTGTTGCGTTTGCAAGAAATGCGTTCTACGACTATTACCGAGGTAGAATTGCTGTTGTCTGACTGGAGTGTGGTGCTACGAGGAGAGCATTTGAGTCTTTTCCTGGCATTTGTTGCCACTAAGAGAGCAATGGATTAACATAAGCCTTTTCCTTTAACATTAAGTGAAAAAGTGTGGATGAGAGGACCTTTAGCAAAAAAATTATTACAGAGAAACTTGTACAAAATGAACATAAATTTGAAATACAAACCACATAAATGTGAAAAGAAATCAAGATACATGCACTATGTCAGTAATTAGAAAAGAAAAGTATGCAAATTTATAGCGCTCATTAGCAGCTCTATGAGGGCCATACATAATGTGTGTACATAAAATGTCTCATTAGGAGCCAACTGTTACGTTTTCCTCCTCAATAACTGTGACATGTGGGTGGCGAAGAATAACAACAACCTAAAATTCAAAATGTCAAAATGTGACTTTTAAAGAATAAAAGTTGGAGAAATAGAGAGAGAGATAGAGAAGATGATTGTATTTCTTCTTCTGCAACCTTGTGTAAGCCTCATGTAATTGCTGGGTGGGGGTGCTGGTGTTGGGGGAGGGGGTGGGGGGGTAAATATTATCTCTTCAACCATCTCTGCCCCAGCATAACCCAGCCAACACACACACACACACATACACACACACACAAACACACACACACACACACACACACACTCCTGCACGGTCCGGAGCTCCAAATCCCTCAGACTGCCAGCCTAAGCAGTACACACACTCACACACACATAAAAACAAAGGGGGATTAGACTGATAGACACACAGC